GGTCTCGCTCTTACTCAGGCTGGTCTCGAACTCCTGAGCTCAAGCAATCCTCCTGCCTCAGCCTCCCAGAGTGCTAGGATTACAGGTGTGAGTCACTGCGCCCGGCCTCCAGGTATGATCTCTCTCCTAAGACTCATCCCCATATTTCATTTTCTTAAGCTCCTCAAATTCAACATGCCCAAGCCAAATGCCTAACCACCCACTAAAGCCCTTCCCTCCTCCTTCATTTCCTAATGTCAGTAATGGCACCACCATTCACTTGGTCATCCAAAACCAGCCTGGTTTTGGTTATCCTAAATCCTTCCTTTTCCTCTCTGTCCTATATCCAGGTAATCACCAATAATCAATAGTCACTGATCAATAAAATCATCAATAATTCTATCTCCAAAAAATCTCTTAAAACTAGCTCTGCCTTATCACCACCTTCCACTGCTTTTACCATTTCCTACCTGCATTACTGCCACAACTTTCTAATCAGTCTCATTTTTCTCCAGTTTTATAACCTCTAATAGAGTCTCTAAACTGTAGGCAGGGTCATTTAAAAAAAAAAAAGTAAATCTGATCGTGTAACTCTGCTGCTTAAAATGCTTCAGTAGACTTTTGAATATGCCACACTCCACTCATGATGTTACTTCTGCTTGGAACTGTGCTGTTACCTCCTCTTTTTCTTTTGTCTGTGTGATGAATTTCTTCAAGTCTCTGTACAACTCCTACAGAAAGCTATCCTACACTTTTCCAGACCCAGTTAAGCACTTCCTCCTCTGTGCTCCAGTAAGGTCTTAAATAGATCTCTCTCGGCACGTCTGTCTCTCCCACTGGGCTGTAGACCCCAAAGAGCAGAACTGTTACCTTTTTATTTTATATACCTGACAAAGACCTACTCGTGTGCTGAAGGAAGGAAGGTAGACATGGAGAAAGGATGGCAGCAAGGCATGACTCAACCAAAATAACTGGCTAAAGACAGGAATACAACCATTTCAGGAGTAAACACCAATCACATTTTTAACCTTCTAAAAAGAAAAATGAAATTAAACTCTGTGAACCATGAACATTCTGAAAAATGTTTGAACAGACTCAGAATGATGTTAAAATTGTTATGTTAACAGTGAATGAGATATTATTATAATAGAACCATTGGAGAAAAATCATTTACTCCTTCTTGTTTTATAAATGATTATAACTAACACTTCAATTAGACTTACCCTGGCATAACATACTATATATCTTTCATCCTATATTTCAAACTGTCTCTAGGTAGGAACATCTTAAATACCCCACAGATAGCAAGAAGCCTGTGGTATCCTGAGAAATCAGCAAAGGGTCAATTTGAATGAACCACGTTTAACAGGCTCTCTGGACTCCCACCTTCTCGGACTAAGTCCTCTGCAGTGTTAACTCCGTGTTCTATGAGCTTCTGACAGTCATCTAGTGGTTTAATGGTCTCCTGTTCAATGGTGTCCACTTCCTGCAAAAGGGTCACCAATCGCTCATCCAGGAGCTTCCCAAGGGTTCCCTTTAAATCGTTAAAATGCTGTTTGAGAACATCCCTTGTTTGTGATGCACTTTCTTTGATCTGAAAAGAAATAAGAACTCAAAATCAGAATCTCTAAAAAACGCTAATCCACAGACATCATTCATAATAATCCGAAGGTACCACAGAACCATATCTTCCATTCATTTAAAAGAATTTTTAAATTGAAAGTGTATATATTTAAGGTGAACAGCATAATGTTTGATATACATATACACAGTGAACTGATTATTACAGTCAAGCTAATTAACATGTACATCTCTTCACATGGTTACCTTTGTGTGTATGTGGTAAGAACATTTAAGATCTCTCTTAACAAATTTCAACCACAAAATTAACCACAGCCCCAATGCTGTACATTAGATCTCTAGAATTTATTCAGTGTACATAACTGAAACTTTGTACCCATTGACTAACATCTCCCACTCCCCTACCCCCATCCCTGGTAACCACTTAGCTTCTATGGATTGGATTTTTTTTTTTTTTTTTCAGAGACAGAGTCTCACTGTCACCCAGGCTGGAGTATAGTGGCATGATCATTGCTCACTACAGTCTTGAACTCCTGGGCTCAAGCAATCCTCTCGCCTCAGCCTCCCTAGTAGCTAGGACTACAAGTGTGCACCACCACATCTGGCTAATTTTTTTTTTTTTTAATTTTTTTGTAGAGATGGGGGTCTCACTATGTTGCCCAGGCTGGTCTCAAACTCCTGGGCTCAAGGGATCCTCCCACCTCTGCCTCCCAAAGTGCTGGGATTACAGGCGAGAGCCATCACTGTGCTCAACCTGAATTTAACTTTTTTAGATTCCACATGTAAGTGAGATCATGAAGTATTTCTCTTTTTGTGTCTGGCTGATTTCACTTAGCATAGTATCCTCCAGGTTCACCCACGCTGTCACAAATGGCAGGATTTCCTTCTTTTTCAAGGCTGAATAATATACATCTTCCATTCACTGATAAACCAAATGTGACTCATTTGCACAAACGGGCAAAACTGCATCAGGTCAGACAGAATGGGCTCAAATTCTGGTTCCAAAATTCACAAACTATGTCAATTTGGTTAAGTTAACTAAGTACTCATTTCCTTATTTGACAAATGAGTATAATGGTTACTTCATGGCGTTGCTATGAAGATTAATTAAAATAATCTATGTACCGCACTAGGTAAAATAACTGGCACATTGTTGTTCTCAAATAAATATTAGGAATTATTATTTGTGGAAAGTAGTCCTGGGCAACAGCATGTTTCAGTACAAAAAATTTTAATTACAAGGGGATTAAAATTCATTTTACTGAAAATGAAGCTAAGAAATGGTAGATTAGAAAGCCACAATACAAAAAAAAAAAAAAATTACCTCATGGATAAAATGCCCTCATTAGGCTAAAAGAAAACTAAGAATTTAATTAAAATCCAAAGAAGTTCATAGGAGGCAGAGCTGGGACCATGACTTAATCCTTTTTGAGTCATGGTGCTCTCTGTGAATCTCAATGGGAGATTTATAGAACCTATTCCCAAAAAAATGAATAATCTATACCCTAAAAAAAGTATTCAATTTCAGAAGTTTACAATGTCCCTCAGATCCAAACCACGGCTTGCCTGGTGCAGTAATTATGAAACTTTGCAGAAGAATCAGGTAAGGCTGCTTATTATAATTCAAACTGCAGGGTTCCATCCCAGACCTACTGAACCAGAAGCTTAGAGGAGGGACTGAAGGAGTGTGTGCTTTCATAAGCATACCTGTGACTCTCTGGCCCACTTTGTGACAAACACTGCCCTAAATCTACAGAGCCCAGATTAAGAACCCCTATTCTAGGAAATGACAGGAAAATCTTTACATCTCACGCATATTTTGAAGACAAGTAGGTTGTTTGTACAGACACCAGATTTTTTTTTTCTTTTAAAGAATTCAGGGCTGCGTGTGGTGGCCCACACCTGTAAGTAATCCTAGCACTCCAGGAGGCAGAAGCAGGAGGATCGCTTGAGGTCGGGAGTTCTAGACCAGTCTGAGTAAGAGTGAGACCCCACTCTACAAAAAATAGAAAAACAAGCCAGGCGTGGTGGCCTGCGCCTGTAATCCCAGATACTCAGGAGGCTGAGGCAGGAGAATCGCTTAAGCCCAGGAGTTTGAGGTTACTGCGAGGTAGGCTGAAGCCATGGCACTCACTCTTAGCCCAGGTGACAAAGCTCCATCTCAAAAAAAAAAAAAAAAAGCTAAGAATTCAGGTAACATGCAATTCATTTTCTCTCACTTAATAGGGAAATTCTAACTATAAGCCACTCAGGTGAATTAAAGCAAACACAGGGCTGTGGCTGTGGCTGCCACAATGCACCATGCCCCTTAACCCTCATTTAAAAACAGAAAAACACACACATACTTTGCAGATGTTAGCATAACAGTTTCATATGACACATATTTACTACCCTAGCCCTTTTGATAGCTTTCTCTTAACAAGAGAGTTTGAAGTACAAGAGAAATCTACCAAGAAAGAATATATCAAAATATGAATAAAGGATAATATTTCAACAGTTAATAAAGAAATTTATAAAGTTTTCTATTCATTTTCTAATATTAAATTTAAAAAGCAGAATACAATATTGTTTTCCAGCAATGTTTACAATCATGTAAAAAAATATACATATATGCCCATGTCCAAGGACTAATACAGAAAAAAAGAACAGCCTGATTTGCTGGGTGAGATCATAGAAACAATTTTCTCTCCTTTTGACATTAATGTAGTTACGATGATATTTGTGCAGTTAGAATTTCTTAAATCATAAAGAAAGCGAGAAATTCTAATTTACCTAATCTCTGTAGTTACCAGAGAACTTTCATGAAATAAATCCAAGTCAAAATTAAAAAAAAAAAATGAAGAAAGAAAGGCCATAAACCTAAAATGTACTCGATTTGGTTAACCATTCAAACTGTAGGATCCTTGAGAACTGGGCCCTCACCTACACAGCAACTGATAAATGAAATGTTGTTGAGTAAAAAATGAAGTTAATCTAATCTGTCACAGGATTAGTTTTTTTAAAAAAAATTAATCATGTGTGTTTTAAAGAACTTTTTAAAAGAACCGGAGAGAGAATGCCTTATGATTTTAACATATAACCTGGGATAATGTTTGAAATGCAGAATCTCAGGTCCCACCTAGAACTACCAAATCAGAACTTGTATTTTTAACAAGACCCTCAGGTGATTCGTATACACATTACAGATACCAGAATAAATGAAGACACTGTGTCAGAGCATTGTAATACATTTTGAACCACCACCACCAAGAGGAAACTCTGTAGTTGAGCACTATACTAACTACCAAGGTCCTATCTCGCTCTTTAACGGATACAGCATACACAGGAAGTATATTGGTTAGGTAAAGTCAATTTCCTCTTTAGAAAGAATTCAAAAGCTCCTTCAGCAGTTGCACAGCTTATGTTTTGTTTTTGTTTCAGAACCTCAGAAAAAAAGGAAGTACGTGAACATAAAGCAGTGAGAGCGCTAGGGAAGAGAGAATCCATTTCCCAACCTACCCCCTGTGCTCTCATTGTAACTGTGTCCCTTTTGTTCATAGAATCCCAGACATTGCCATATCAAACCTCATACTACCTTGGAATCATTTTCTTCTCCCTGAAATAGTTCACGGTTTTAAAGCCCAGTCACTTTTAATCCAATCACGTAACTAATCAAGTTCATTTGCTTGGCCTTATGAAACCAATTTAAAAACGTGGACTTCACTGTTGAGTGAAAGTTTTCATATCTGATGTGGCTCCAATGGTCCAATGTGTTCACTGTTAACACAATAAATCTTCACAACAACTGAGAGGTGGCTCTGTATTGCTTACAGCTGAAGAAAGTGAAGGTGAAAGAAGACACTTTATCCAAGGCTTCATAGTGCCTAAAACATTGATTCCAAAGACTATGCTCTTTCACTACACGAAGCTGTTTTAGTACTTAAAGATCACATTTTAAAGAGTTCCCAGATAACTCCGTAAGTCATGTATAGACCCTTCCTCCTATAACATGTATTTCTTGCCCCTGCATAAAGAATTGTGTGGTAGACAATCAGCCTCAAATGCTACCTAGCTATCTGGTGGTTTGTAACAAAGTAGATTTAAGAAGAATATAATTGACAGTCAAGGTCTCAAGAAGGAAACTAATATACATTGTTTACATTGATTAATAATATTCTAAACTAATTTTCCACTAAAACCTCTAGTGTAACAGAACACTAAAACTTACAAAGTTTCCACCAAAGCTGAGTTTAACCCCAAAGCAACTGTTTTTAAAGTTTTAACATCATGAGCTCACAAAATGCCAAAAATTCATCAAGTTTATACCTCAATACTAAGCCACTGGAAAGCCTACAGAATATTTACTTCACAACCCTCCAAGACAACAGCGACCGATATATTGTCTTCCAGTGTTTAGCTACTAAAAAGTCATAAAACCTATGTACACAGAACCTGATTTAAGATAGTTCTAGTCTTGTGGCAATATACAGTTGCTATATTAATATAATATTGTATTTCAGGAAATTAAGTAACTAGAATCTCCACTATCTTCTCTAAAACATGCATTTCCATGACTTGCTAAAAGAAGAATTTTTATCCTCCAGGTTTGATCTAAGAATTTATTTTCCTAATTGCTTTGCTAATAGGAAACTAAAACTACTTTATAAATAGAGACTGGGTTTAAAAACTATTAGCTAACAAGAACATACCAATCAAAAATAAAAGACAAAGCAAAGACATAAAATAGTCAACTGAAATTAAAGAAGCTAACAAAAATTTTTTTTTCTCAGTTCATATGAAATGTACTACATTAGCTATTTGTCTTTGCACTGACACCAAGATATTAGTCATTAACAATAATGGCAGTAACAATATAGCAGCAGCTATCATCTACCGAATACCTACTGTGTGCCAGGTACTTATACCCGTGGTCTCATTTAAATTCCACCATAACCCTGTGAACAAAGTATCTGTAACATGAGAGTGAGAGAGATGAACCTGCTCGTATCACAGAGCTAGTCTAGTGGCAGAGAA